AGCTATCCTTTTAAACGTTTGTGACCAGGGATGCTACGCTCTCATAGGTTGGCCGTTTTGACCAATGAAATCAAAGAAATATGAAATTTCAAAAACGATTAGCAGTTTACATCTTCACAAAGGAGTCTTAAAAATGAGTTTTTGTCTTACAAAATATTTTTTAAAGATTTGGTATCTATATCTATTACCCAACTATGGCCTTGTTATAAAACATACAGTACGCCCTTAGATGAGGTGCACTGTGTTCCAAAGCTCCAAAAACACCATTTAGTCATCCTTTAAAATGCGGGGTTTTCTAAGAAATTGAAAAAAGAACCTATTAGGAAACATTTCAAAATTTCAAAAAAGTCCAAATATTGACAGATAAAATCAAGTATGCACAATGCCAAAGTAGTTCAGGTACTTTTAGGGCCGGTTGTTCAATCACGGTTTAAACTGCGGATTAGGTAATCTGTAGTTTAAGATAATCCACAGTTTATCTTTTATTGCGTTGCTCATTCGCAGTTTAGGGAGAGATTAACTAAACTGCGTTTAATGAAATTTATATTGGTGGCAACACTGTAATCCGCTCAAATTTTGACGTTTACGCTATTCAAACTTCAAATTTGGTTTGTTTACAAGCGTGTATGTTGTTTTGTTCGTAATTGAAATAGTGTCTGTATTTTTTGTGTAATTAATCGTGGCTAGTAACACCGTTTGGAAATGGAGAATGCTGATTTAATCCGGAAGCGACCGCGATCTGTAGACTTCAATCCAACTGAAGACGCGATGCTTCTGCAGCTCGTCAAAAAGTTTCGAGCAACAATAGAGTGTAAAAAAACCGACGTTCTTAATAACCGCATTAAAGACGCTGCAGGAAACCAATTGGCTGAGGAGTTTAATGCTGCAGGAGGTCAAGGAAGGGATGCGAAAACACTCAGAAGCAAATATGAAAATATAAAAAAGGTTCCCAAAAAAAATTTGCAAATGAAAAGAGATATTTAAATGCTACTGGGGGAGGGCCAGCGAAGAAAATAACGAGGGATGTAGACGAGCAAGGTATTGCTTGGAACGAGAGGTTCTTCTTCATCGTCCAAAAACAGCTGCATTAGCTCCAAAAAACCATCATCAGTAATTGGCTCATCAAAATCCGTGTAGTTCATCTTGATTAACAAATCATGAGACCAACAGCCCAAAATGACAAGAATAACGTTTTCGCGTTTGTTTGATTATTTAGGTATTTGGGGTTATGTTTGACGGTTTAGGAGCGTTAAACGGCCCTCTTTCGCCGTTTAGTTAAACCTCTAATCTAAACGGAGTTTAACGTTAAACCGCAGTGGTGCAATGCATTAAACTAAGCTTACAGCTTTAAACGCCAGTTTAAGCTAATCTACAGATTAAACCATGATTGAACAACCGGGCCTCAGTGGGATAAGAATTTCATTACCACACTCAGTGGGATAAGCCCTTGTCAAAACAATGTATGATCAAAAATCAACTATCAAGATTATATATTGTAAACATTAACGTCTGATGGAAGAGTTCCAGACTCACTCATGACATAAGCAAAGAAATCAGAAGCAAAATTTTTGACGTACAAATTTTCTTGACGTTAGGATTTTCTTGTTTCTATGGCGTCGAAAACTGCTAACTATGCTACTTCGATTGAAATTTAAAAAAATGCATCAAATTTATTTTTCGTTTTTAGCAGTAGAAGAACAGTCGCAGATAAAAAGTTGTATTTAATACTTGGGCTAACGGCCATTAACATACTCATGCTCTCACAATAGCTCGGGCTAACGCCCTCGTATGCGCAATTGTCGCATTCGTAAGTTAATGAGGCCGTTATCCCACTGATTAAATAA